CAATTGCAAAAGGGAATTCATGGGAGCAGGACTACATGTCTTCGGTCCTTGGCGGGCAGATGGGAGGCTGGGGACGGCATAGGTCATTCCTAAGCACAAGGACTTGGGGAGGTGGCGACCTATTGCACCGGCACCTAACGATCCGGCAGCGGTAACACAGAAGAGGATAGCAAGGGTGCTGCATTACCTTCTCATCAGGCTCCCGGCGAGGAACTCATTCTATCTCAATTCGGTGGCTGACTTGCGGAAAGGCTTGGAGACGGCAACGCGGAGTTTGAGGGCCGCTGGCTGCTCACAGGTGACTGGAAGATGTTACGATATTAAAGAGATGTTTTCGCGCATCCCGCATGATGCGGTGATTCAAGCAGTGGAACAGCTGCTATGCACGTTCGAAGATGGCGGTTGGAAGGTGGTGAAGGTCTCGTACCGGGCGAGGGCATGTGTCATCAGCACCATAAGAAGAAAGACCGATGGGTACGTCAGTTTCACTTTCGAGGATCTGCTCAGAGGGGTACAATTCGATCTTGGACATTCAGTGATTCGGTGTGGAAACAAGATAATGATGCAGATATTTGGAATCCCGATGGGAAAATCCACGAGCCCCATCCTTGCTTCGATAACATGTGCCATGGCTGAGGTACGCTTTCTCAAACAGTTGGGAGCGGACAGGGTACTGGTCCGCGGGTGGCGGATCATGGATGATATCTCCATAGTGGTCGGGGTTAGCCGCAAGATGCACGACGAAAACCATCCGGAGGAGTTGCTCGGACATTTTGAGAAGATTTACGATGGGAACCTCGAGGTTGTGCGAAAGGATGATTGCGGCCTTACCTGGCATTTTGTGGGGGGCACGATTTTTCTCTGTAACGAGCCACTGTAGCTGCACTACATACCGCTGACAAAGAACACGGAACCACTGACGGAACGAGGCGTGCTGACCTTCCAAACAATGCAAGATTTCACCTCATACTCTGAAAAACGAGTGAAGAAAGCGGATTTGACTGCGACAATTCGGAGGCTGTGGGAACATTCGACCAGCAAAGCACTCGTTCTGGGCACAATAGCATGTGCCGTCCTCGAAGCAAACCTCCGGGGGTACCCCCCAGAGGTCTCTCTTGGCGCCCTGGCTGTATTAGCCAAGGCTGCGGATGACCAGGGTCCTAAAAGATTGCTGGGAGTTTTGAAAGCCCTATTCTTGGGACGGTGCGGATGCCCACTGTAAGGTGTTGGGCACTCTGGGCATGCGAGAAGGTCCAGTTAGCCCTGACCGGTCCTCTGAGGGCCCTTCGGGCGTAGCGAAATTCGATATTTATTATTTTCTTTCTTTTAGTATTTGTTTCTCTTTATCGTATCTGTTTATCCGGTTTTCGTTCCCCTTTGTCTTACGATGTCCTCTTACCGCTCGGTCCTGGCCGGGGCGGAAAACACGTGGGGAACGCAGCCCATACTATGGGCATCGTGCACGTGTCGCTTCATTATCCTTTAAGGGGGCGTAGCGAGTTTTGAGGCAGGAAAGTCACCGGACCACTAGGCATGCCGAGGACCGTAGCTTATAGTTTTTCTAGGACGAATGAACCCGGACCACTAGGCAAGCAGGGTGCAGATGAAAGCTATTTATAGGAAGTCTCGGACGACATATTTCTTATATTTCTTGTATTCCGCGTTTTCGTGTGGATTTCTTGTATTCCGTTTTCTTGTATACTACTCGAATATCGATTTTTGAACTGGTTCGGGCCGCCTGCCGAGGTCTCACGTTTGAGACGTGGGGATGGCACTATCAGGTGCACGGAGGCTATATTAGTGAGGAAGCAAGGCCTTCGCTTCCTCTTTTTCGGGCACACGAACTCAACAGAGTTCACCCTCCTTAGGAGACCTACGTGGTGACGAGGGCGAAACCGGTCGAGGGGTTCCACCGGTGCATCGAGTGTTTTGGCAACGAAGGTGATGATTTGAATATGCGCTCTGGTGTCTGTCTTTGATGTTCTTTCGAATGCAGAGTCTACTCATGTCGTCCATGTCGTTGCCGGGACTGTGTGGCCGCAGTCTGCCAACTCTCTCTCTCTCTCTCTCTCTCTCTCTCTCTCTCTCTCTCTCTCTCTCTCTCTCTCTCTCTCT